CCAATCACTTGTATATGATAGCAATCACCGTATATTATACCAATCACTATATATTATACCAACACCTATATATTATACCAATCACTATATATTATACCAATCACCTATATATTATACCAATCACTATATATTATACCAATCACCTATATATTATACCAATCACCTATATATTATACCAATCACCTATATATTATACCAATCACCTATATATTATACCAATCACCTATATATTATACCAATCACCTATATATTATACCAATCACCTATATATTATACCAATCACCTATATATTATACCAATCACCTATATATTATACCAATCACCTGTATATTATACCAATCACCTATATATTATACCAATCACCTATATATTATACCAATCACCTATATATTATACCAATCACCTATATATTATACCAATCACCTATATATTATACCAATCACCTATATACTATACCAATCACCTGTATATTATACCAATCACCTATATATTATACCAATCACCTATATATTATACCAATCACCTGTATATTATACCAATCACCCGTATATTATACCAATCACCTATATATTATACCAATCACCTATATATTATACCAATCACCTATATACTCACCTCTCTCTGTATAATATATCAACATATGTTTAGATTTTAATGTTGGTTATATTTTGTGACTATATGACACATCAGGATGATTAGTATAACAAAACTACGAGCGCAAAAACAATTTACTGTAAAGTAAAGAATATGTTTTTATTCATTGACGTATATAGAACTATAGTACGTGCCATTCGCCAAATTTTTACATTACATTACATTACCCTTTGCCACAACTACCTCCAGATCACTCTTGGGCAAGGTGTAGTACCTGTCTGCCTTGGGTGCCAACTTACCACGTAATACGTTTGGTTGACATCAGTAAGGGCATACGATCGTAAAATTCCTGCACCAACAGATCCGCATAGCTGGACAATATTTTATGTAAATATGTATATATATATATATATATATATATA